AGCTCAGGTCACGATCTCACGGTCCGTGAGTTCGAGCCCCGCGTCGGGCTCTGGGCTGATGGCTCAGAGCCTGGAGCCTGCTTCCGATTCTGTGTCTCCCCCTCTCTCTGCCCCTCCCCCGTTCATGCTCTGTCTCTCTCTGTCTCAAAAATAAATAAATGTTAAAAAAAAAAAATTAAAAAAAAAAAAAAAGAAGACACATGATTTCCAAAGTTTCATCACGCGTGTAATGAAAAGTCTCTGTGGCCCAATTTATGGAACAGAGCGTGTTCTTGAGAATACATAGATTGCTTTATCAAGTCCCGTGTGAATTCCAGTGACTAAGAGAGCGCTGATATCCCAAGGATTTGGTTGCTGGAGGATGGGAGTGGGGGTGTCAGCATTCAGCAGATAAGCCTGCCCACAGATCTCAGAGAAGAGTCTCTGAGTCCATACAGACATTTCAGAGAGCTAGCTCACACAGACTAGGGTGTTAGTCCCGCAGGCTGACAAATCCCAGGCCTCAGCCATCTCCAGAGTCCTCAAATAAAAGGTCCTAAGAACCCTGCTCTCTGTTAGATCATTACATGGTGACAGTGGGGAGGGAGGACATGACCAGAGGCACAGGCTTAAATGCTCTCTCCTTCTGTTTTAGGCACAGATCTTAGAGCATCAGGTTCTCACTCCCCATCACAGAAACATCTTTTCGACCGCAGAAAGCTCATGGGCACTTCTATCCAAAACCAATCCATCCTACAAAACCTCACCCAAACCCTGCCTCTGCTCTGAAAGTCTTTCCAAACCAGCCTAACTGGAAAAACCTTTTCTTCTGAATTTCGCAGACAACGTCTATCTATGCTATTCAGCATCTCGCTTTGATCTGCTTTGAGGCTCCCGCAACTTCCTGAACTAGTACCTAATTTCTCATGCATTCCTGTCTTGTCTTCACCTTGCAATCTCCTACACATTCCGCATGGGCACATACAGGACACAGAGAGTCATTTTTTTTTTTTTAATTTTTTTTTCAACGTTTATTTATTTTTGGGACAGAGAGAGACAGAGCATGAACGGGGGAGGGGCAGAGAGAGAGGGAGACACAGAATCGGAAACAGGCTCCAGGCTCTGAGCCATCAGCCCAGAGCCTGACGCGGGGCTCGAACTCACGGACCGCGAGATCGTGACCTGGCTGAAGTCGGACGCTTAACCGACTGCGCCACCCAGGCGCCCCGAGAGTCATTTTTTTATGCCAGACTTCTATATTCCTGCCTGAGTAGGCTCTCCATTTCCCGTCCGGTGTTTCCTGCTTCCAAATGCCTCGGAAAGATACTGCCGTGATATACTCCGCCCTCTCCTTAATGACACCAGTTTTTGCCAACTGTCTGTCCATCAAGTCCAAGGGTTTGCTTTTTATTTTCTAGCACCTCCTGCAATCAATCTGAGACAGACACGTTCTTTTCTTACTCCTCTTTTCAATTCGTGTTTTCTCAGTCATATTCCACACCATCTTGAACTTCTCATCCCAAAATGACACACTTAATAAATCAGCATTGGGGGAAAAACGTTCACTTTCCTGATGCACGTATCTGTGTCCTTTTTTATCAGTCCCAGTTCTGCGCTTCAGTCTGTATTACCAATCACCCTTTGTGCTCTTACTGTTGCAAACCACCTCAAGTCACCTTAAATCAACGCAGCGTGACTATTTCTAAGACAGGGATACTATATTTATACTATAAATCTTCCTACTCATTCTGCAAAATCGATGTCCTCATTTCGCTCCCGATCCCCCTCCAGATAGAACGGGGACTCCATTATGAAGGGACACACGGATTCTCTGATGGTCACGGCTGTATCCCTGGTGCCTAGAACAGCGCCTGACCCTTAGAGGTGCTTGGTAGGTACCCGGGGAATGAATGTTGGCTGAATGAACCTCCAAACAGCCTCCGGGATTCGGCTCCTTCCACCTCTTCTCTGCTTCACAGGAAAATGGTCAAGAACATCAATGCCAAAGTGAAACCATCAGGGTCTAATCACTGGCTCACCATCTAACCAGGGGTATGATCTTGAGCACAGTACCTGACATCTCGCAATCGCAATCTCCCCAGCTGGAAATGAGGATACGAGCAGGATTCCAGTGAGGACTGAACAGGATAGTGCAGATAAAGGACTCGGCACACGGCAAAGCCGAGCGCTAATCGCGGCTCTTCGGTTCACACTTCTCCCGTTCAGCCAATGTCACCTCTGCCACCACACCTGCACAGCTGAGCCTTTCTCTTTCGCACCCGCAGAAAGACTAACTTCTGACAACAAAACTATTCTGACTCAAATATGAGTAAATAAATAGGCTCAAAGTGAGGGCTTGGGAGTTTTTTTTCCCCTGTGAAAAATACGTAGGCACTTTAGTGACAGAGCTTAGATACCTATCTACTCAGTGGCCCAGGGCCTCTATGTTTCTGCACTTATATCTCGGTTTCCAACTCCGTTCAGGTCGGCTACATTGCCCCAGAGTGCAGTTCTGCATACGGGGCTGCCAGAAGAGGTACTTTTACAAGGAGTAAACCAAAGGGCCTGTATTATACAAGCCAACAGTGAGAAAAGGCTTTCTGTGTCACTCTCTGTTTTACAAAACTTATGAGAAGGTACACTTTCCAGCTTGGGTCTTTAAGAATCTTCACGTGCCATTCTGATTTCAAGAGCTGGTCTGAAAAGTGAATATTAACCCAGGAAAAACCGCTTTCTTTATCATACGCACTATTCCTCTTACTCTGCGCTCTGCTAGAACACCGTGCAAACCGGGGGTGACTTTAACTCTTGCTTTATTTCGATTTTTGCTTTTCCAAATAAAGAACAGTGACCAGTAAATATTTCTTTAGAACAAAGGGCAGAATGCATTTGGCTCACAGCCAGCTGTTGACCTGAGGCAAAGATGTTTTGCCAGAAGCAACCCCTGAATACACCGGGGTACTCAAATTTCACCTGAAATGGCTGGCTACCTGAAATACGCTTTATCTTTTCTGGCATGTCCGAAGTTTCTACAAACTTTGGTGACATTCCCTGGCCCATAACTAACGTTGCATTTTTTGTTGTTGTTGCTGTTGGGAAATTAACGTTAAGACTCTGAGTCTTAACTAGAGTTTTCTGAGCACTAAACATGCAAGGGAGGGTCATAATTAAAAACTGGCAAAGCTCACAACCCAAGTTCACCACAAGCAAAAACAGAGAGGAGAACAGGAATGCTGTTGAGCATTTACCTCACATGGCAAGGTCTTAACTGAACAAGATGGTCCCTGCTTTTAAAAGCATGGGTCTCAAAGAAATGCCAACTCAGCAGACACATCGCGGTCATTCAGCTTTGGGAGTAAATGTCTGCATAACTAAAGCCGGGGAGCAACTTTCAAGCCCCCCTACTGAAGGTACAAACATGTATTATTGGTCATGCCAGCTCCATATCCAGTCCTTCCCTATAGTCTCTGGTATACCGTACTATAGCAAAAGGGAAGTAGAACTGAACAGATTTTTTTTTAAGTTAATGATTCAGGCAATTCTTGGAATAACTTCCACTTGAGAAAAATGTAACCAAGAGGTCCCATCAAAAGACTCCCCAGCTGCTGACAGCTCAACTCTGGAAATTCCCTCCCAAATCACAAAGCGTAATGACCCTCAAGAGCCTTTTCTGCCTCCAGCGAACTTGGAATTCTTTCTAAATATTCATTAGGACGCCCAATAAATGTTTACTGAATTGAAGTCAAAAACGAAAAGCAAGTACTGGAAACGTAAGCTCCTAAAGCCTTGCTCCCTCGCCCAGCCCCCGCTTCCCCCACGAGAGGAAACTGGGAGATCTGGAGCTGAGAGTTGAGCCAACCAGTATCCAAGGGGTCTGACACTCGGCCCAGGAGGTGATGACAGCCAGGAGGGCTGGGCAGTGGTTCCAAAATGGGGCACCCACTGCGCTGGGAAATGTTGGGCGCTTGCCAAGATACAAAGCCTCCCCGGGGGAGCTGAACCGGATGGTCGGAAACCAAGGCCCGAATCGAGTTCCACCACCCTCCTTCCTGTTTATAGATCCCGCTCCAGTGACTCCAGCTACCAAAGAGAAAGCAGACGTCTCAGAAATATGTCAATACATGACATAACTTGAAAAGAGCTGGCTGCTCATTGGCGCGAGTTACAACTTGTCGGGCTCACACAGGAAAACCGGCTCACTTTAATTACTTTTCTTTTAATATGCCTTGCCGTCCCGTCCCGGGCCCCCGCAAAGATCGGGTTACTGGGAACTAGGGGGCCTCGGCGGGGCGACCAAACGGTGTGGGCGGTTAGCTAGGGGCAAGGAACGCGGGAGCCCAGCCGACCGCCGGCGCAGTGGCTGCCCCTTCCGAGTCGCGACAACCGGCTGCGGCTCTTCCCTCGCACAGGCGCAGAAACAGGAAGCCTGGCACCTCCTCGCAGTCTGCACCAAGTCGCCCCGCCGCTCGCTGATGTCGCGAGGGGGCCTAGCGGCACCGCGCCGCTGCCCTGGGGTTGGCCCCGGGAGCGCCACCTTTGTCTGGGTTTTCCCGTCCGACCGGCCACGCCGGGACGCAAGGAGCGCTTGCCCAGGTCGGAAGCGCGGACGCGGCGCTCGGCTTCCCCGGCCCGGCGCGGGGGCCCGGGAAGCCGACGCGGCCGCCCCAAACCTCCCGCTTCCACGGCGCGCTCGCGGCGCACCCGCCAGTGCCTGCCCGGCCGCCACTGCCCCGGCGCGGCCGCCGCGGGGTGCGGAGCCGGGGACCGCGCGTTTCCTTCGGGCGCCGCTGGCATCCGGGTCGCGCACCTGGTTTCGGCGTCATGCCGCAGGCCGCTGCTCGGCGAGGCGGTGGCCACCGTGCCTCGGCCGGCCCACCTCTCCGGTGTGCCCACGCGTGCCTGTTACCCGGAGACCACTGCCAGAGGACTTCTGAAGGAGGCTACATCTCAGACCCGCCGCGGGGGATGGCGCGACAGCCCACCACCCACCACCCCCTGCCTCGCCTCTCGCCCCTCTCTACCCGCCTGCACCGTGTCCGAGAGGTCGCACCGGGGGCTGCGGTCCGGGGAAATTTTCTTCAATTTCCTGGCGCTGAGGTTCAACCCGGAATTGGCTGCCTCTCCAGCGCCCAACCCCCCGGTTCAGCAGGTTGAAATTTCTGCTGCCGCCGCCGCCGCCGCCGCCTCCCCTGACCCCGCTGTTGCTGTTCCTCCGTGCCAGGCCATGGTGGTGGGGATGGTGGTGGGGGATGATGGATGTGGGTGCAGAGGAGCCACTGAGAGGGTAGGAGCCCAGGGGTTGGGGTTTGCTTCCCATGTCGCCAAGACACTCTCCTCCTTCTCCTGGGCTCCCCACTCCCTGCCCGCCTGCTCCCTGTGGTCACAGCGCTCCCCCGGGAGGGGGAGACGGCAGCGCGGGCCGAGTCCCTGCAGTGCCCCACCGAAAGATCGTGGAAGAGGGGAGGAGGGTGTGGCAGGCGCGCCGAACGGGGGCAGTCGGGGAGGCGGCGTTCGGTCCGTTGCTTCCCTGTCCCTGAAGAAGGATCATGGCGGCGGCGGCGGCGGCGGCAGGCAGCGCGCATGTGTCTCCTCCCGCCCTTGCTCCCTCCTCTCGGCGGCTCTCCCCTCCTCCGCCGCGCCGCGCCGCGCCGCCCGCTCTCTCCTCCTCCTTCCCCAAGCTGTCAGTCCAGCCCGGAGCCTTCCTCCGCTCTGCCTCCGGAGCTGGTTCCCGGTTTGCTGTGTCTGCTGGCCAGGTGGGTGCGTCAGGGGGGGCCGGACCCCTGCAGCGGGTCACCTTGGTTTAGACGCCGAAGGCCCCTGGGGTTCTTTTCGCTGCCCAGAGTATCTTGGAGACCGGAGGTTTTGGGAAGTCTCAGAAGACACCAGCGAGGCAATAAATGGGGTTTGAAATACAGTGAGATCATGGGGAGGTGAAAGGTTATGATCTCAAATTTGCGAACTACTCTGCCTCTCTGACCCGAAGTTCCCCGACAGGCAGTTTTTCACTGTGGGGTCAGACCAACAGTCTACCCCTGCTCCTGGCATCGGAGCACCTACAAGGAACCAACGGTGGTCTAAGTAGTTTACAAATTAATCTCGTTAATCCAGGGATCCCATGAGCGGAAAAATTGTTTCCCAGACCACAGAGGAAGTTAAGAAACTTGTCTAAGGCCACCCGTGCAGTCAGAGGAGGAGCTGGATACGAACTTGCAGCCCTTGGACTGTAGGGTTGGCCTCCTTCCTATGTACTCCCAGGCTGGAGAAGAGACAAGAGTAGGGTAGGTTTTCTGAGCGATGGGGGAAAACTACAGACACAGAAAGGAAGGAAAGACTTTCAAAGTGAGGGCAGTTTTCATGGCAGACAGAATCCATTGTCACAGGAGGGCTGACTAGGGCTGACTGAGTCCCAGAGTTGGATGGTGCAGGGAAAGGTAAGAAACCAGTGGCCCCAACTAGCCAGCAACTCAGCACATTTTGAGCCTGTTCACAGGTGCCGTCAAAGTGTCCTCGTGACGCTTCTTGCTGCCTCCAAAGGACATGGGGACTGACATGTAAGCAAATTCACGTTCTGCCCAGACCAAGGCTAACACACCAGTGGCGAGGGAACATCTGGCACCTTAGGGCGGGCCAGGTGAAGACTGATAAAGCCTCACTCCTTTCCGGAGTTTCAAGTCTAGCTCTCTGGGGCCTTTATTTGTGTGACATAACCAAGTCTTGATGGTCCCTATAAGCGACTTGGCTAGGAGAGGTGAGAATACATGTACAAAAATACTACAACCTGGGGGATAGGTGAGCCCATCTTTTAAATGGTAGTTCGGAAAGTTGATGGCCTAGATAACAGGCTGGAACTTGTGACCTCATGTACTCGGCATTAAAGTACGACATGATCTATGTCACTTGCATTGACTGCATGCACAGTGGACCCTTAAATCCTACAGGATTCTAGGTGGAGTCAAATATTCTTATCTCATCGGAGGAGACAAGCGCCACCTGCTGGTTTCCTCTCCCAACTTCCTCTCTCACCACCTCTTTTTTTCCCCTCAACCTCCTTCCTAGACGTTTATAAACCAGGCTTGAAAATAATAATAATAATAATAATAATAATAATAATAATAATAATAATACATGGATAAAAGAACACTTACATCACTTCTAAAAACTGACCTACCTTCCCCTTTCTTCATGGTCTTTCCCCAATAGATGAGTGAGAAACAGACACAGAAAAAATTTTCAATTAATACCTTCAGCTGAGGCCAGGTGGTAAGGCTGTGTGATTAGTATGCAAGGTATGAGTGAGGACATCCAGCAAATTGCAAATTTAGTTCAGACCACAAATTGTGGGGATGCACCATATAGAGTATCATTTGTTGTTGTTGTTGTTTTTAAGACCGCAGATTCTTTTTTAGAGGAAATGATAGAATAGGAATTCAGGATTTGTTTTTTAACAAGTGATGGATCCTCATGTTAGGTTCACCAAGTTATTATAGTTTGCTTTTTCTTCTACAGATTACTAAAGGGTAAACTCCTTAGGGGAGGGACCCATTCATCTTTGTAATTCCCACCCCATATCTAGAATAGTACTTTGTGTATGATGAGTGCACAATGAATATTAGTAACTAAGCATTGCACAACAGGCCAATTGTACAATAAACCTATCTATTGCACAATCGACAGCTTACCATTTGTTGATATGTCTTTCAAATTATGCTCCTGAATGAAGGAGTTTTTCCTTCAATTGGAGGAGAGTACTTGACCTTTAAAACTGACCTTGATTATTTGTAAACATTCAAGAACTTGACAAGCTATTTTCTCTTGCTATCTTGCTTCTCTATTTTCTCAATAAGATGGACATATCTGTTTTGTTATTATACTCTTTTTTACATCTTCTGAAAATACCCTCTTTCCATTCACACTCCCCACTCCATACATACAGTTCTTTGATAGTAGCCGTGCTATGACATTGACCCTCCGGTGGTCGTCTTGATTAGTCCAGAAGTGGACTTCTGACCAAATGACAGAGCACCCAGGGGATAAGAGGATCATGATTATGTTCAAACCCTGGATTCTGACTGTTCCTGATTTTCATCTTTAGTTTCTATGAGATATCTAGTATATTTTCAATGCATTCTGTTGTTCACCTAAGTCAATTTTATTTGGTTTTCTGTCACTGCAACCAAGAGTTCTAATTAATATATTTGATTTACCATATTTTAGTCTTTATGCCCCCTTGTTTTTCTGTATAACCTCATTTTGGGATGGTCCACAAATAATCGTGTATAAACTATTTGGATAATGTCAGCAGATTGTTTTCATGCTTTGTCTTTAGTACCTTTCAATCATTTTACAAAGTTAACAGAATTCAAATGATTGAGAAAATGGGGTAAATAGAAATACTCTCAGATTAAAATATTGGCTATTAGGAGTAAACTAATCAGTTTCATCAACAAATCAAAACATTCAGAATTAAAAAAAAAAAAAAATTCCTCTTGTGCTTAGAAAAGATCCCAGACTCTTCCACATTTAAAACCCAACTCTTTTATTCCTGCCTGAAATATAGAGCCATGGACACGCTTATAAAACTCAAACTTATTAAGAACAGCAGATAGATTTGAGCAGGGCTCTTTGGCGTATACCACCTTCTCAGAAAACCACCAAGAATTCTCTTTTGGTGGGAACTCAAAGCGTTTGCTGAAGAGATGGTCACAGTCACCCAGGTTTGTCCCTCACAGTCCTGACTGTCCCCTCCAACCATAGCTAATTAGGTAAAAGGGGCTGACACAAGATCCAGTCAGCCCCAAGCAGGGGAGTTCCCTGTCGGACTCTCCTGAAAATTTGAGCAACACACACAATGACCACAGTCACAACAGCAGTCCTTAACAGCCAGAGCCAGGACTTACTCACATCCTTTTACCCTGATATCCTCCAACCTCTCGGCCTCAGTTTCCTCTTTCTTAAGAAAGGAGCAAGAATGTTCCCTGCTTAACACCACCCTTTTTGTTACTCCTTCCACATGATCTCATACTTAAGTATTCTCTTTGTACTGTGTCAGTAAGTATTTATTCAGTAAATGCTTATCTGGAAATGACCAGAGTGTGTTGTATTCATTCATTTGTAAGTACATCAAGGACAGAGCTCAGGCCTTTTTTTCTCTAGAAGATTCAATAAATAATCTTTATACAATTTATACAAATATTTATATATTTATACAATAAAGATTATACAATAATCTTTATAATATACAAACGTCTGAGACGTTTGTATATTCTAAGGCAACCAATAACACCAACATGAATTTCTCTAAAGATAATAATACTATCTCGGACATGTTTAGGAGATTCTTCTAGCATTCCAAAACACTAATCTGAACCAGTTGGTCAGGGACAAAGTGAACCTAACAAAATGAGAAAAATTAGGACAATGTACCAGGTTTTTCATAAAGCTGAATGCATTTGATTTCAAACATCAAACGTAAATGTTGGACGGTGTGTGCACATGTGGGATGATGCCTTTCTTATTTTTTTCAAACAATGGTAATGATGGATTCTAGTCAAATAAGTTTATTCTTACTTGGGGAAAAAAATGGTAGGCGACTAGAGTCAGCTTTCAGATCAAGTTTTTTAAAGTTACTTACTGTGAAATCAAAGCACCTACAAACTACTTCCAGAATTTATCATAAGTCTGAAAAGAGGATATTGCCTGCCTTTGGATTTTGAAGTATTTCACAGCTGCCTGTTGTCTGGATCCGGCTTTTTTGCCCTCTTCACTCCAGCCCACTAACACAAATCCTCAATCCCCTCATAGGGGCTCATTTTTACTTCTCACGGAGAAAAACAGTAGCAGCCACTACCGTGTGGCCAGACCCTACCCTGCCTCTTTCTCCCGTTTTCTCCCAGACTGTGAGAGCCCCGGCTCCTAGACCAGGGAGATTTTATTTCCATTCTCCTTTCCACTGCAGTTCCTATTAAATAAAAAAACACAAAATCTGGGCCATCAAGATAAGATTCTCAAAGAGGCTGCCTTCTAGAACATTCCCTGAATGCCAACAGAGGAGTTATCCAGGAATGAACGAATTAATAGGCTTTAATCTTTGTTCCGCTTTCATAAATATAATTATTTCATTTCATAAAAATGCCAATTTTGTGTGATTTTTTAAATTATTTTTAAGCAATATGTTATAAATTACGTACATGAAATATCATAACCAACAGTGTAGCAAGAAGACAATATTCTGACCTAGAACTTCAGAGAGATTAATAGCATTTTGAAAGAGCCTGTGTGGGAAAGAAAGCTTGGACCACCCAGGGCGTGAAGCTGATAGTGAGGAAAAGAGTTTTTTAGGCTTAATTACGTTGATATCGAAGGGGGGGGGGGGGGGGGGAATATCAGTGACCAATAACTGACCCTCAGGTCCTGTCAGAAGTTTCTCAAGAGGGGACCAGAGGAAGAGCCACTGGAAAATAAGGATTGAAGACAACCAGCTATATTTTGATAAGTGTATTTTGGAGTAACTGGTCTTTTGAAGATGTGAATGTAAATATTCGATTATAG